TTTCCCTAATGTTTAAAACATCTTCATGAGCCTTCACATGTTTGCAGTTGGCCAGTTTACCTATATGAATTCCTCCTTCATCCCAGATTTAAAAAACTACAGTTATAGAGTTATCTACCAGAAGAAAGAAAACACTGTGTGCATTCTTAATCCTACACATAATGCAAGAGGGATAGCCTCAAAAAGAGGCACTATAAATTTTCCATAAACCACATCAGGAATGACTATGAAAATCTGCTGAGAAGTCCTCTATGTTTCTAAACCTGTCTCTCATTCCCTCATCCCATCTCCTACCAGGACTGTGCTGTTTGGAGTGTAAGCTCAAAGCATTCAGAGCAGCTGAGTGCAAATAAAGACTTTCTAGCACAGCTCCTCCTTCCTCCGTGATTTCCCAGTGAACAGTTATCACCAGGTTTTGTTTGCTACTGAGAAGAGACTTAAAAGCAGAGCCTGGACTTAAGAGGTTTCAAAGCTCACTAACAGCTAAGGAGTTGTCACTTCTCACCCCTCTATCTTCTCTTGCAGACCATCCTTTCCCGTCAACACACCAGAGGGGACCAAAGAAAAAAAAATATGCAAGTTTAGCACACATTAAAAGTTTTTGTTTTTTTTTTTAGTTTTTCCTCCAATATTCAAGATTTCTGAGCCTAGAGGACTTCTATTTGCATCTGAGCTGATTATTGCCTTACTGCATCTACATAATTGAGGCTGCAATAAGCTTTTTGCAAAACATTTATAAGCTTGTAGCATGTTTGACATGGGAACATTCAGCTCCATCCTAGTAGCCACAAGAGAGACGTCAACCTGAATTTTCAGGCATGCTCTTCTACTAACCATTTTTTTTTTTGGAAGCTTTCAAACAAAACAACGTAGGAGTTGTCTAAGAGCCTTTTCAGAATGGGATGTACTCATGTTTTTGAGCTCTTTTCTACTTTCTTCCACTTGTTCACACAGAGCGAAGCAGTCCCTTCAACATGCAGACCATGAAGAGATGGGTTTGACTAGCCAGCCCCTCAACCAAGGTAGACTCCTGGGGCTCCACCAGCCACAGAGCAAACCTGAGCCCCATTTCCTCTCACCATGAGCAGGCTGGAGCCGATGGCAGCTCCTCCAGCTCATCGTTGCGATAAGGCAAGCGTAGAACCTCCATAAACCTCCAGCTCATCATTTTAAAATCCTTTGCCAAAAGACTGAATAAAATAACTCCCACCATCAATCTGAACCAAACTCCTGACTGCTGCCAAAGACTGCCCAGTTCAGCCAGGTCTAAAAATAAACCTGATGTGGGAGTCATAAGGTGGCCAGGAAAAGATGCTACCCACAACATTCCTTCTGTGCTGTTTGTTACAGAAACCGTAACCGCACATCTCTGAAGCTCAGAAAAAGCCTTTGATCTCTATCTACAGTGGGGAAAATTTCACTTTTGGAATTTAGCCTTCGGATTGATTCGGTAAAAATAGCCCACAGACCTTAAGGGCCTACACGGCAACTTAATGAAGCTTTTAATGAGTTTTTAAACTGGACTAGTGAGGCCTTGCATTTTTGCTCACAATATGCGAAGCCCTAACATGACATATGCAAGGTCTGACATTGTTCTTTTTAGCTTCATGCTAGATCTTGGGGATTTTGAGTTTTCAAATTGTATCTGACAAATGCTCCGCACCAAAGTCCATTCCCCTCCCTTCACTATTGGAAGGCTCCGATTTTGCACATTAGTCTGGGGCACCCTTGGAGGAGGTAGCAGAAGACATGGCCTTGCTGCCTTCACATGCCTCCTGGACTGAAACACAGGGGAAAGTGACAGCCCTAAAGCACAAAGGCTCTGCAGGAGGAATTGCAAGGAACCTTAGAGCTCCTTATTATACAGTGCATGAGTATTTGTGACAGTTATGATTACACATCTTGTGATTCTTGCAACATGGAGTTTGTTTCAACAACATTTCTCCCCACCAAAGCCTTTCTTGTCCTTGGGATTAAGTGCATAGATAACATCCACAGTGTAGTGTCTGTTTTCGGTTGCTTGCAGCTTCCAAAAAATTCCCCTTGGGGGCTGAAATGTTCCAAGTTTGATCTGAGCCCAGAGTTGGCAATTTTTCTTCCCCCTTCCAACCAACTGACCAGCTTAGAAACACGCATTTGGTCACTCTTCAACAGTGGGAAAGTGAGAAAATAAATGTTTTGGAGGTTTAAGAATCTCCCTTTCATGAAGAACGAGGACTGCCCTAGGGAAGGGAGGGGAAGGGGAAGCACGGGGGTGGCAGAGTGGGAAAAACAGAACTCGAGATACGAGTGCCATACACAGGGGTGAGAACAGCAAGGCCGATCTGGTTCTGGTCAAGTAAACAGCCTCCCAGTACAACAGAACAACTCTAAGAAACTGGTCCTTGCAGCTAGCCCCCATCAGAAAAAGCTCTGGAGAAAAAGAATGTCTGGACTTGCACAGGCTGCAAAAGTGGCTCTTTTACAGGATGCTTGAGCAACAAGCAGTCAAAGAGACCTTTGTGTACACTTTCACATAAAATCGGGTACCTCTGATCTCTGTCATACTCTTACCAAAAAAAGGACGATGACTAAAAAGCTCAAATGCTGCATCAGGATGGCTAGTCAGCCCCCTCCACCTCAAGTCTCCCAGGGTTATTTCTTTTCACAAGTCTTTTATTTCATGCCCATCATAGGTGGCTATTTTAAGGGGCCATAGGGAAGTGCTGAATGCTGATAAGGCAAATCCTGTATCCCTTAATCCACTGATAAATCACTCTGCCAGGCTTCAAGAGTACCAGACAGATGGAGTACCCGAGGAAACTACCCACAGGCTGGCTTCCCACTTTGACCCAGCTCATCTTTAATCCAGAAAGGTTTTGTTCTGGTATTTTAATCACTGATTGACTGGGAACTTTCCTCCATGCTGGGTTAGGTAAAATATCCATATGCCAGAGGTACTGGGGAATTTGCAAGGCTGTAGATCATAGGACTGGTGTGAGACAAGGTGCATCTCAAGGGAACAGGGGAAGGAATGTAAAGAGTCACAGGGTTAAAGCCACATTAAGACAGCTGTTACATTAATGAGTGCTCTGCTTTTCTGCTAGCCATGGGTCATTGATTTAGAAAAACATGAACAAGGACTTCTTCATTCTCTCATATCTTTCCACTGAAGCTAAAGCAGCCTAAAATATATATCCTAGATCCTGATTGCCTTGCTAATAGATCTTATATAGAAAGTTATCCTTATAATGCTTGTGCAAGGCTGATTCTCAGGGTTTGATTTGGTCTTTCCTGGGCCAGTGACTCTATACATGAAACTGTTGTGTTAGCACTTCATTTAAGTAAACACATTAAGAACAGATTTATGTCCTACTGAGATCGCCTTCCAGACAAACTTATCCATACATTTGATTTTCTTTCATGCTCATAACAGAGCACTTAAAGTTGGGATGTGACATCATCTGCAAAAACATCCAGCAGATAAAACCACTGAGCAGGAAAGTCTGGATCCATCAGGATGGGTACCCAACAGCACAGCCGTGCTGCAAGACGCGTGCTTGCCCTCAGAGCGGCGCTCGGGATTACTTGTCCCAGTTTGTAGCATGAGTTACTCCTCCAGCAGTTTAACTTGTTTCAGACTCCTCGGATATAGCCGAAGTTGTGAAGACCTAGTAATTCGGGAGTTATTTTGCTCTGAATTAAACTGACAGTTGGGATAAAAAAAGGTATTATGAAATCTAAAACTAGTCAACTTCCTAGGATAAACTGGAAGTAAACTGTGGATACTGCACCAGTTACCCTGTTATCTTGCATGGCTCTATAGACACATTGTCCTTTTTAAAATGTTTCTCTCCTCTATTAATGCCTAAAAGAGCCAAACAGCAACAGATGAAACCAGTTAAACATCTATAAACTGGCACCACAGCTTAACTGATTACGTGCACAGTGCTGTCAAATGCACAAAATAAACAAACCAGGAGAGGACGTTGTTCTCTAAACTCCAAGTATTGTATTTAGGGTAGGTATGGAGCAATTACCAAGGACAACACAAAACTGTTTTCAAAGCAGCTGTTTTAAGGAGGTGGAAAGCCCTTGCCCGTATACAGCTGCAGACACCTCTGAGGTTGCACACCTCATAGCTCCCCATGTTCTCCCACCCCGAGCAGGAGTGTGCGAGAGCACGAAAGGCCGAACGTGGCCACGGACGCAAAGGCGCCGGGGGCAGCATCCCCACACGCACCTGAACACGTGCCTCCGTGAGCTTGGCCCTCTGCGCCAGCTCCTCCCGCGTGTAGATGTCCGGGTAGTGCGTCCGCTCGAAGGCCCTCTCCAGCTCCTCCAGCTGCTCCGCCGTGAAGGGTGTCCTGCGGCGGCGCTGCTTGCGCTCCAGCGGCAGGTCAGGCTCCGAGTCGATGTCCGAGCCTTCCTCGGACTGCGGGGCTGAGGCTCGAGAGAGAGAGAGCGCGATGAGAGCGAGAAAGTTAACTTTAGCTGACAATTGAAAAAAAAAAAAAAGACTTGATCAACTGGCAATATTCCCATCACATGAACTGAGTTGGTAAACTTTATTAAAAAAAAAAATCAGAGTTAAATGTTACATTATGTGAATTTCCTCAACCAAGAAAAGTACAGCTATAAATTCAGCACCTTTGCCAGACCCAAGAATATTTAAGGACCACCAGAAATCTCTCTGAACACATCAACTACTCAGGTCTCAGGAGAAGGCTCAGCTCTTCAACTCCCCTTGCAACAGTTGGCAAGTATTTGGGGAAGCTAGTGCCAAATGATCACACGAGCAATCCAACCCTGACCCTTTCCCTCTACTCATGAGCAAATACTCCATATACCTGGGCAATAAATATTGCCATGTCATAAATTATAAATTCTCATGCCATAGATGCACATGCACAAGACCTTTCCTCTGTAGATATATCACTAAGACCTCATTGCTGGAAAGATTATGGAAGTGATTACAAAGGAATGGGAAAATTAGTAAAGAAATTCTCATACATAGTCAAATACTTTGTCCTGTGCACTGTTTGTTCTGCTTTGTGAACAGTATTCTCCATGGTTACATTAGTTTATCTCGGTACGCTTAAACTTCTCTGCTCTCTGCAGCTTAGCAGCTGGCCATAGGCCCACCTAGCACAATCTTAGGACAGTCCAGACAAGTGCTAAAATTCAGAGAGATCTCAGACACGTGCACAGAGAAGTGCTGCAAGAAAAGCAAAGAGCTGTTGCCCATTTGACTCAGCTCTTCCAATTACACAAGCGAGTGGATTCCAGCACATGCAACACCAAGAACTGAAATACACTGGTGGCATCACTCCCTTCTCCAGAGATTTCACCGTTATTCCTCCTTACCTGGGAGGCTTCCTACCACGGACGGCAGCCCCGCGTGCTGGACCTGCAGGGTCCCCAAGGCGCGAGCGGACGGGGATGACCCGGTGCAGAGCGTGGCGCGGCCTGGCCCGGCCGGCCTCCCGTCCGCGCCTGCAAGGGGAGCCACCTAAAGAGGGCAGGCGCTCGCCAGGCATCCCGCCTGCCACACCGGTAACTCCACGTTAGCTGCTGGTGTAGACACCGACTCAAAGCAGCCTTTGCAGCACAAACCAGCTGAACGTGGCTGAGAACACACAGCTGGAGAAAAATCACTGTTGCTCAAGCTCCGGCTAAATCCCCCCACACACTTCGTTCACTTCTAGGTGCTTTACATTTTGCACTCAAGCTCTTTGAACTAATAAATACACCTAATCTATTTATTTGGTCTTATAGCATGATAAGGACAAAGGGCTTTTTCGGACACCTCAGCTGAAGAGTTTATGAATTTCTGGACTCAAAAGAAGAACAATTACTGCCAGCCCAGAGGCTCTTCTATGAGAGCTATCTGCGTTGTACAGGCACCAGCAGCACTTTGGATCCAGGATGCACTAAATATCAGGAAAAACTCCCGCAGAGCTCAACATCAGTGCTCTGCAAAAAACACGCATTCATGGGGCCTCTCACTTGCGTGGCAGCTTTGCCCGAGTACGGACAGCAGGATCAAGTCCTCCCGGTTCTGGAGAACATTATCCAGAGAACAAAGAGCTGCGCAGCTGCCCCAGACCAAACGGCTCTGCTCCGGTCCTCACCCCATGGGCACGACTGAGTGCCTCAGTCGTCTCCCTTGCCCACAGGGGACATGGGCTTCTCCAGCTTTTGCCCATTGCTGCTTATTTTTAAAAAAATAAATAAAAAAAAGGAGGCTTAAGGCAAGCTGAAATTGAGCTGGAAGCAGGATGGTGCTGTGGGAATTATATTCCAAGGAAAATGCCTGAGGATGCATATGGACACACCAGCCCATTACAGGGGAGAACACGTGTGTTAGCATACACATGCACACCTACAAAACACTACCTAGGAACCAGGGACTATGCAGTGCAAACAGCTGCGTGTCGCTGAATTTCTGACCCCAACACCCTCACTCAGTGGGTTCTGACCCCAACACCCTCACTCAGTGGGCTAAAGCCCAGCCAGAAGCCCCCAGGTGATCTCTCTAAGAAGTGTTTTATAAAGGCTTTGTGAGATCTTGCAATGTTCCTCTGCAACCTACGCTCATGCTGAGATGGGATGGCAGAACCCGATCCCTGGCTTAATCCATTTTCATTGCAGTTTTAGATTTCATTAAGCAATATATGAGAAAACATAATGGCAAAACAGTCACAAAAAGACTGAATGAAGTAGCTGGGAATCCAGGACACTGCATCTGAGACAAATACAAACATTTAGCGATAAAGTAATAAAACTAAAGTAGGGAGAAAAGGCATATCCGATTAAATGGCTTTTATAATCACCTGATTGCATCAGTCTTGCCCTTCTCCAGGGCTGGCTACTGGCTGCCGATTTACTGAAAATATTTGGGTTCTTTGTCTTATCTGATCCACAATATTAAAATCAGACCAATGTAATCTCAAACGCTAGCAGCGTGTCTGTGCTGCAGTCTAATTTTCAGCTCTTAGGTAATCTTTTCAAGGGTTATTTGTTTCATGGAAATTTTTGTGCTTATTTTTCCTATTAAAAACTTTTTAATACATGAGAAGCCTGTCAGTATTGGCCAGCACACAGAATGAACACGCCTCCGCCTTTAAGGAGCAGTATCTGTGCTACACTTGCTCATAGAGTCACTCCATTACCCCTTCTGTTCAGTAGTATCCGCTGATCTCCAGAGCATGCCTGTCTTTCCCTGGATGCTACTGAACATCAGTAAAGAGGGTCAGGTTTTGGGACAGCTTCTCCCCCCACCTCCAGCACCACTCAACCAAGGCAGCGCATCCGTGCTCTCCAAGCTTCCTCAACGCATGGATCTACGCAAGGGAAGATGCCAAAGGCTGAGCAGCAGATGAGGTGGGAGGTTTAATTGAAGGCGGCATTTAGAGAATTAAAGAGCAATTATTTGTCTCTTAACCCTGCTGACCTGTTTGGTGGCCTGAGGAAACACTCTGTCTGAACTATCACTATCACAGGCAAAAATCCCTGTGCTCAGAGGTATTTAGTGGCCTAGAGTCCCACAACTTTCTAAACACCGGGAAGAGATATGTCCGAGCAGAGCAGCTCGCCCATGGTCCTTCTGCACACTGCGCTCCACCTCAGCAAGGTGCTTCACTTGAAGAATAAATAACAAAAACACAACAAGCATTAAACCCCCGTGTTAGGGAGCAGCACAAGGCACTTCATAAACCCAAGAGAGGAGGGTTGTCTTTCCACAGAGCTGCAGAGGAAAAACTTTGCAGGCAACCATTCAGGCCCTGTGAAATCACCACATTAGGGGTGTAGGAGTGTTAAGGTGGCCTTTTCTTCCACCCATAACAGCATGGGCTCTGCCCTCCCTTGTTGTATTTTGTCTGCCTACGGATGTCTCTCCAACAAGACCAGATGAGCAATGAACTGACCCTCACTGCAGCTTCTGCTGCTGGACGAGTTTAGTGCTTGCACTTGCTCCATCTTTTTAGCTCTTTGCGTGGGATTAACCAGGGGATCTCTCCTGGGGAGATGCCTAGCGGGACACCTCTGCCTCCAGGGAGCGGGGCTGCGGGGCGGGCGCCCATCACCGTGGCGCCGTGGCTCCCGCGAGGAGCGACCTGGAGCGTGTTGGCTCGGG